AGAGACTCTCCACCTGATACTAGCAAACCTTGAAGTAAATTCATACCAATGCACTCAACACATACGAAATGTGGAGTATGGTAGACTTTGTGAATATCTCTACAAGATTATCACAAGACTTAGTTTATAAATGTTCATATGCCCATATTACCTATGGAACAGAACCATCTTAGTGCAAAAATTTTACATTAAGTATAACTTGTCTCCATCTACACAACACAAGTTGCATTATCTTTATAGATAATGACCATTGATTTAATAGAATCAACACCACATAACTTCAGTATGTGATATATCATTCTGTCAAGCTATTCACATTCATATGAAGCCTTGTACAATACTATGCCAGAATAATTAATGGAATTGACCATTAAATATCTATTTAAAGACTATCAAAAAATGGTCTTTTCTATATTTATGTAAAGCATGTTTCAATGATCTAGAATTTGGGGATCTTATAGATAACCAGAATTATTATAATATCCACATAATCGAATCATGGATTACACCAAGACCACATGTGCTATTTGAGATATCAAAAGATATTCTTAACTTCAATCCACCAACATTTGGTAGGAGTAGCGCTGCTACTAGATAGCAAATCATTGCAAAAAAATAATAATATTTGGCTAAAAACTTTTGCAAGATTTTTTAGCGCATAAATAGCACAAAAATAATGGACCACATGTCCTAATATCTTATCTCAGTCACTATGGCATAAAACAATCTTCCTCTATCATGAGGTAGAACAACCATAGGATACCTTCATATTGAATCACTCAATATGATCTGGATATAGATAGCTTTTATAGAAAATCCTGAGAGAAGATGCTTGATCATAAACACAAAATAAAGTTTTGGTTTAGTCCGTATCTTCCATCTCAAACTCCGTCTTTAGATTACAACATGCTATTAACATGTGTTCATCACTAATGATGTCAAGATTATTGACTCTATGAAATCCAATCAAGGACTTCAAAATAAACACCACGTGTAATCAATCTTGTATTCCTTCAGTTTAGGGAATACACATAAACTCAATTATACCAAATTTGACTTAATTGCTTTAAGCCATATATTGACTTAATCTATACACAATATATGTTACGATTTTGTATATGAGGGTTGGGTATGTGAACTCCTTCCCGGAAGCTTCACCAATACATCAAATCAAGTGATCATATAAATATATGTGATCACTACGTCTATCATTTATCAACTGCAAAGATAGATGCTTTTGTACTGCCAATCAAAAGATAGTATCAAAAATTTATAACTTAATATGGAGAATAATTTGCATTGAAAATCAATGCATGGGCTTTGCGTAAACCCCTTGTGTTACTAGTCTTGCTTTGATCTCACCACCACATTGTTCTCAATCCATTCTAGGACAAAAACACTTTTGTACCCACAGTAAAGGTACCATAAGGTGTTGGTATCATAGCCCAAAACACCTCTTTTCTGGTGAGCAAGACTATCTATGCTTGTATTACATCACTCAACAAGTTTCAGTAAGAGTGAGCAAAGCACTCTGCCATGGTCTTATTGACTGGATGACTTGGAATGTTGTATACAGTTTATTCAGAGAAGTACGTGTCGACACATGTAGCCTTTCTATGATATAATTCTCCTGTTATCAAAACTTAAAGTATCCTGAATGACTCATCATGACTTCCCGAAATGAGAGTTAGGGCTTTCCGATATCCCAGCATCAGTATTTAGGTGCACCTCTGAGCTAGGTTTGTGGATGACATCCATCCACTAGGTAATAATTAATATTTACCCACAAGGTGTCGCCAACCATAGGTTGACCTGTATTTACTATCTTAGAAGAAAAACCTGCTATTGCTAGCATGAATAATCCTGTTTTATGGCCATACTTCTCCCCTTCTTATTTATAATTGGGAGTTGAGTTGTTTCACTTGGTACCACTACTCTTTTAGGCATATACTTGCAAAAGATTAATAGGTTTAAAAGATACCTTAGTAACCAGTAAATACATTTGGCAGTTTATTTGTAATATTATGCAAATCAATAATTCTTTGAACTCAAAATTTAGTTCATTTAGTACGTGATCCTGAGCTTGAAATGTCTTATGCATTCCAAATAATTTTCTGGCATTATATATGGTACATCAAATCTCTCCCTAATGCCTGGAAATGCTCATTATCAAAATAAAACCAACATACGAGTCGTAAATAGATCCTCCATCAGAGATCTAAATACTTAACAATTGACGGAGATTGAAATTTCACATTGATCCCCAGTTTCCTGTGTGGACCCGTTAATGTATGCTATGGTGGTGAGATTCGTATGTATACAACGTAATCAATCTTATGTAAATAGGAAATCTTCATGGATTTGCACGTACTAAATGCATATATGTAGTTAATCTCAAATTAGGAGTGTGTAAATCTACCTGACCCCAACACGAAGTTGGCAAATAGCAATTTAGTAATTAACGATGGTCCTGCTATGACCTTGTCATACTCATAAATTCCGTTTATCCATTTGAATATGTAACTCAACTTTTGTTATACCAAACAATCGTCATTGTAGGCACAAAAATTCAGTAGTGTCCAGGATAATGAGCTCACAACATAAGCCATTATATGCATGGCCGAGTGTGGATACTTCACACACTCCAGATCATCTTATATATGTATCTTCACAACCATGAAATGCCTGAACTGTCCATACAATCTTTGTATCGGACCCATACATATTCTCTTTGAATATGATCAAGGAATCTAAGACACTCAATCTGATTTTAAGATAAGAGGGTCTTAAAATCTATTTTCCTATGGCACTTATCGTATCCACACTTTGGGGAAAATCATGACCAAAAGAATCACCAATAATTTTTCACCTCATCCCATATGATGGCCAAGTTGTTCATTCTAAATCCAGAATGCATCAACAGTGTGAAAAATTATCTTGTACGCAGCATGTTGTACGGGGTGGTTGTATGCAAAATACAACCAAAACGAGACTTATCTTATTATTTATGTCATATCCAATGTTGTTTTTTTGTGTTTTCATATGAAAACACATTTGGATATCTCTATAATTTAGTAAGACACGAGTTGAGTTGGGACATAATTAAATATCCTTAATTGCTAACTCAATATCTAAGGAAGAATGATAGTGGCAATGTAGGTCAAACGATCATTGCATCGCATCAGCGATGGCCAAAATATTTCTTCTTCTTGTCATAAGAACTAGGAACATTTTGCTTCCCTAATTATAGAGTTTGTGGTACAAATGTCCACTTGGCACATATCATTCCACATTAGAATGATTTTCGTACAGTCTATATATGACAAGAGTTTAATGAGATTCTCGTCTAATATATAGAAATCCATAAATATTGCTGAGTATTAAATACATCGATATGGTACCCACAATAGTTATGCGTTGACAACACAAGTATTACAACATCTTCGATGGGCATTATCACATATTATCAACGGACCATGAGATTATACCAAATCTCAAAAACAAATCATTCAAAGCATATTCGATGATCATGTTATCCATCTATGTGATGTTCTCTTTACGAGAAAAGAAGAAGTGGTGTTATGTGATCCCATAAGATCCAACATAAACAATCAACCTCCTATGTAGCTTCAGATTTTAAGATTGAAGCACCCTTCATATCTTATTTCTGTAGCTCCTGTTTTATCCCTTATAGAATGTTGATATAGATCAACTACAAATTTAAGAGTACGACATTGTTTAGCGCTATGCTAAACACAACCACATATATGATATTACACTTTGTCATTCTTGGGTTCACGTTGCCATCACTCATATTGCACATTAGGCCTTTTGCTTTTACTAGTGGAAGCAAATTGTATGAATAATATGATCATAGTCTTCAATAGTTTGAAAAACTAGAGATATGATCCACTCATGATTAGCCTCAAGCTATATGAGTTTATTTATTTATTGTTCATAAAACTCCTAAAGAGTGAGCCACGAAGAATGTGCATTTCTTTCCACAAGATAATCTTATCGATGATCTTGATGGATGTAGTACCTTAACAACAATAAGGCGCCATTTCCTTTGATCTATAATGAAAGCAACCCCTAATTGAGGTTCATTAAATGCTTCCATTAGTCCATGGGATAAAACCAATGTCAATGTCCATTGTCCATGTGGGATATTTATGCCATCAAGAGCGAGTTCATCAGAGTCCTCTGAAGTCAGTATCCACAACATGTGACAGACCATTGATTTAATTAATTTACATCTAAGGTAAATTAAAAACCACTATGGTGATGTTGTATCCAATGCAAAATTTAGGGGGTTCCATATCTTGTCACTTTGTTTTGGATAGTTGGAGGTTGTCAAACAAAACTATAGACCACACAACAATTAGAGGTAATCACAAGATGTGTAGACCACACGAACAATCATTATTAATGTTGGCACCAAAGTTCAAAAAAGCGCTAAGAGCTAAGCGAGCGGTGACTCGCCGCTTAGAGCTTAAGCGTACAAAGCGTTGCTTAAGCATTCTGTACTGTAGAAAATCAGATTCATGTAATAGGCTGTGAACTTGAGAAGTATAAATAAAAACATACCTTATTTGATCTTATTCCTAAACTTGTAGAGCTGAGCAATTGTTAGACTTGTACAGGTACAACTCAGCAATTGTTGGTTTCATGTTGTAATGTTCCTAACAGTCACAGATATGGGAAACATCAAATGTTGATTAGGTTCATAAAACAAAAAATATACCTCATGATTAAATATTTATAAACAGATAAGACGAATAGTAATGGCAAGAACACCACTACTTAGTTCATAAGAACATAACATTGCATCTGAAGTTCATAAACCATAGTTTCAGGTCCTACTTAGTTCCAAATTAAAAGATACATCATTGCAGCCCACTCATGAGCATGACAGTACAATACAACTGATAAATTGATAAAACATCAATGATGGCAATGCATAGATAGACATAACAAAAGATGCCATCATTCTAGCTGACTCATTCATCTTCATCCATGCCATCCAGCCCATCCTCATTGTCAAATTCCTCTTCTTTAGAATCAAATTCCTCTTCAGCATAGAGCTCTCTTATTCTCGAACTTCGACGCAGCTCTAGTTGTTCACTTGCTCCCATTGCTTCTCCAATAACAGTCCAACGTATCCCTGTACCGGGCATTTCTTCTTCTTCATCATCCTCATAGACAACTGTTGCACACTCATCTCCACCATCAAACATGAAACCTTGAGCTTGCATGACCTCATTGGATAAGAGAACATCAGTAATCTTCTTTGACTTAATCTATTGTCTTCTGCTCATGAGTTTGGAATTGAATTGTATGAAGACAAGAGAGTTTAGGTGGGCTGTAGTTAGCCTATTTCTTTTCTTAGTATGTACCTACAAATAAACATAAGAATTAAGAACATAAGCAAATCAGGTTAGAGAATAAACTGGATATTCAGACTTGAGATTACAGGTTACTGACCAAATAAAAAACACTCTTGAGAGACAAAGTTTCCTCTACTGTTGACTGGGGTTCTCTTGCTGCTTGTGTCCGAGCAACCTCCATCCTATAATTACTTAATTATTATTCTATTAATCTAGACAAGGACAAGAAGCAAAGGAATTAGGCATAGACTAACTAATCACTGATCTATAGTGCCGCACAACACAACAAGAAATCTAAAAGCACAAAACAAAACAAGAAATTAGTATTCTACTAATCTGTACAACAAAAGCAGGGAAGGAATTAGGCATAAACTAATCTAGCAATCTAAGACTGCACATGCGCACACCTATATGGAACTAGAGCCTAGCACTAGCAGTGTAGCTCACATTAGGACTCAAAGAAGGGGGAGGGAGCTCAGGGAGGAGAAGGGAAGGGAGAACTAGAGTGGAGAACGGAGAAGCAGAGGAGAGAGGAGTAGATAGTGGAGAAGTCAAGCAGAGGTAGAGGAGCCACCTTGCCGAGCATGGGGAAGAGAATCGAGAGGACGACACCAGAGATGGGGCAGCTCGAGCTCGACCTTGGGGAAGAGATGTCGGACTTGGGGAAGAGACCGACGAGCTCGACCTTCTCCAGCGGCAGCTCGAATCAGTAGTCAGCGGGCGTCGAGCGTCGGTCTGGCGTCGACGGGTGTCTCATGTCGGTCTGCGGGCATCGGTCGGCGGGCGGCGGCGGGAAGTCTCTTATGCTTTTATCCCCTCCTCCCCCGCGCCCCGAATCGGGTTCCGCAAGGCGTGCGCCCAATTGGAACTTCCGCACGGCGCGCGCATCCATCTCCCGCGCTACTTTCCCCGCGATGCCTTTCCTGCTCGGTCGCTGGCTCGCTGAGCGGCCACGGAGCAGGGCTTCCATGGCGGCTTTCTCCGCCTCAGCGGCTTCCGCGCGCGTCCGCATCTGCTGAAGCGCCGGCGCCGCTTATGGCCCGAAGCGAAGTGGCAGCCTCCCGCGTAGCGCTTCAACGCGCTTAAGCAGCCACTTAATACCGCTTATTGGAACTTTGGTGGGCACACACATTGTAGATAATCTCTAAGTCTGAAACATAGAGTAGATCTCTCAGTAGTAGGCAAATAAATTGCTGCTATAGGCACGCTCTCTGGGCTGATATATTCATATGAATATACCGTAGCCAATGCCTAAGACTCTACCACCTGTGTAGAACCTTTAATAATGAATGATGGTAGTCACCATAAAAGTGTACCATTCTCATATTTCCAAAATACTTATTTGGGACAACACAATATAGGTAATCATCAAGTTTAAAATAAACATGATGTAGACCTCTCAGTAATGGGCGAATAATCGCTGCCATAGGCACGATTTCTGGACCGAATAATTCAAGATGAATTAAGCGCAGCCAATGCCTAGGACTCCATCACTTGTGTTATGATCCCAAATATATTTAAAATATGCATTGAATGATTTTGCATTTAATCCATCATTAATTAAGAAACCCTTAATTAAGAGGATTTACCATTGTTCAAATGCAATTTATAGAAAAATTATCAAATTAACAAGGCTAACAAGGTACAGGAATAAACATGCTGTTGTACTAAATTTACTAAGCATATAGTGCTATAGTTGCGTAGTGGCATAATTTATGTAAAATCCCGTAGGATCAAAGCAAAAATCCACTTCCTATGTTAGCCTTACTAGCAAAAATGGTTTAGCTGCCATTTTATTTTTCTAGATTTGGCTCATATGAGCCTAAATTCTTCCGACCTTAATTAACTATCAATTAATTAAGATGATCAATTTTGTTGCAATTAGAATTAATTGCCGAAGACCAAAATCGACAAACTATGTATGTTTAGGCATGAATAATTTTCTGGTCTAAAAACAAAACAATGTATAGGAGTAAAACTCTACCATACTAGTCCATGACTAAAATAGAACAGAAGATCATAGACACAGAAAACATGTCCAAACATTGATATAGTAAATTCATCGGCAATATGATATCATGATGCAATTTATGAGAATTGATAGGCCTCAAAATTATATATTTACACTAGGTAAATAATTGCATCATAATTTATTTAGATGCGAGGTCTAAAAGGAGCATTTATAGGATATATATAAATGCAATATATTGAAGTGATGCATTGAGGCTAAACATAAAATAAGAATACGGTAATAATCCAATAGGCTTAGCATGTAATTCAGAGAAAAACAGAAGGGTTCAGGTGCAAAAGGGCACAATCTTATCCCTTCCCATCCCCTCCCACGGACGGTTCCTCACGGGTCACGGACTCATGGCGTGACACCAACGCCGCCGCTGTTTCCAGTAGGAGGGGCGCGGCTGCCAGGTCCGAGCCGAGCGAGCGTAGCCGCCTGCTCCGAGTCGAAGGGGCGCAGCCGCCTCTGCTCCGGGCCGAAGGGGCGCAGCCGCCTCTGCTTCGAGCCGAAGAGGCGCGACCGCCTGTGCTTCGAGTCGAAGCGGCACGACCGACTCTGCTCCGACCGAAGGCCACGCCGCCACCGTGGATCCGGCCTCCAGCGCCAAGACGCGGACGCCGCTGCAACCTGCGCCAAACTCGGCCATGGATACCGTCGCCACCTGTGTGTGCTGCGTGAGGCCTCGAGCGCCGGGCCGAGGACGCCGCGCGGGGTCGCCAGCCGCCGTCGCAGGGAGCCGCTAGCCGCCACGCGCGAGGCGCCAGCGCGGGGGCCGCGTCCGTGGGTGTGGGAGGGTGCCACCAACGACGGGCCATCAGGCACAGGAGCGGCAACCGCCGTGGCGTCGTGGCGAGCTCCGACCATCGCCGTCGCTCTGAGCCACAGCAACCTCGTCGTAGCGTGGATCGGTTTGCGACCATCGCGTGGAAAGGGCGCAGGCACACAGTCGCGAGAACTACGTACAGTGCCAACAGAAAGGTAATCAACGACGAACACATTCAACAAGTTCGTACCTTCTATTCATATATTTGGAGATCAATTTCTTGTAGAAGCAAGCAGGTTTGCCTCTTCTTCTGTGACTTGTGTTACCGGCCGACCTTGTTTTCTATTCGTCCTTCTTAACGGCGTTGTCCAAAGAGATCGCCGAAGAACGTGTGCACCGGCCAGGCGGCCGGCCATGGCCCATGGACGAAGGGTGGAGGAGCATAGCAGACGAGCGTAGCCTTCTGCTTCTCGATTTCGTCCCTCTGTTGAGGGTGGTCGGAACTGCAACTTCTCGAGGGAACACTTACCGGCCTTTTTTTTTCAGGAAAGAACAGCGTGCGTGCAGGGGATACAGCGACGCCGGCGATCTTGTCTCCGGCGAGTCCTTCAACAGCGATGCCACCCAACTCTCCGGCGAGTCCCCTGGCGAACTTCTTCTGTTTCCCTTTTCTCGGCGTCAGTGGAGAGCGTGCCTGTCTGATAACGTGTTAAGAGTAGAACGAGCGAGATAGATCGATCGATGCAGAATGATTGTCCCATGTATTCCTAATGAACAGTGTGAGCGATCGAGATAGATCAATGATGAAAAATTGTTCTCCGTCGCATTCCCAATGAACAGTGTATATGTATATATACAGGCCCATGTGAGCAGTTTAAGTGTGAAAGAGAGAGGATGAAAAGACACCGAATAATCCCTAATTGAGCACTAAATAAACACTTTCTAAGTGCCTCTCATTTTGATTTCTTACTTATGCTTCTATATCTAAAACTAAACCACTAGGTCGAGTTATATTCATGTGTCCGCTTCCTATATTCATGTGTCCGCTTCCTAATCCATGTGTTTGTCACCGGTTTCGTCTTTGTGTCGGTCGTAGAGGTAGCTTTGTTCTACTCCCTCTCCCACGTCCTAACCCATTGCACCTCTATAATCTCATTAGCACATGCGCAATGGATTGTATAAAAATTGGAGCGCCTAAGAGGGTGCAGGAGAACAATAACGATGAGGCAAGGCAGATGACACATTGAAATTATGAGGACCTGTTGTTGGGAATACCGATAGTGGAGCTGTCGACTGGCCATCCAACTACTGCTACCTAAGGCTGACCTCCACCAACTATTGTGTCGTCGGGTGCGCTGATGGCACAATTAAGTCTCTCATGCACGTCGCTCTTCTCAGTCGATCATGGCACTGTAAGGATTGTGTGCTCGCTCAATCACGACCGTTACGCAATGCTAGCCCATGTCTTCTCGATGGTCGGTGCACCGCTGTCATAGGTTGCCTGGCCGTGCGCGGTGACACTAGGCACGCATGCTACCGTGGCTACTGTGCCGACACACAGCTCCACCGTGCAGCCACGCTCATGCCACCGACAATGCAATAAATTGTTCTCCCGTTGCAACGCACGGACATGTTTGCTAGTATAAAAAAAATGTTAGAAATAATATTTCGTAGTGATCAATTAGCAGGTTAATAACATCATTAGCAGTTGCCATTGGTAGAGGGGCATGTCCCTTGGAAGATATATATATATATATATATATATATATATATATATATATATATATATATATATATATATATATATATATATATATATATATATATATAGGGTAAGGCTATTCTGCAGCTGGCCATAGAATAACTTATTCTATAGCCATCTTGATTTACGATAATATATGTACCAATTTATGATAACATTAATATGCATTTACGATACTCGTGTTACTACAACTCACGGTGATATTTACGATAATGTTATAGTAAATCACTTAGTAAGGAGTTACTGTAATCTCGTAAATTAACATGGTAATTATCGTAACTCAAAGTGGCCACGGAATAAGTTATTCTATGGCCAGCTGTAGAACAGTATAATACCATGATAATTTAGTTTTGAATGTGTGGTGTACCGTGACTCTGAGCAAGAAATTTGTAACATTCTATTTGTACCTAGATCTGTCTTCACAATGCATGAACATTGAATATATTTCAAGTGTTGACATGAAATCAAAACAATATGCTCATTACAACTATCGGTTCAAGCACATCTTTGATGCATTCAAGACAAAACTAATATACAAAACAAATGGATCGTGTATGTGTTGTACAGGTGAAGAGATGAATGAGTACTGCAGATTGAATTTTGCACATGGCTGTCCACTTAGAGAAGCATTTCTATACTAAGTGTAGCATGTAATGAATCTATTGCCATGGTTTCTTAGGGCCTGTTTGGCTCAGAGCTACACAGAGCTGCCTGGCACACGCAGTCGTTGGATCTTGGATGCCTAGGCCAGGTGTGCTGCCTGGCGTGAGTTGCCTGGCCCAGGCCCTCATCCAACGAGCCCCTTAATATCATTATAAAGATATTGCCAACCCAACAAGCACAGTCAGTAAAATAGTCATTTGTATCTCTGTGCTGGGAGTACCATCCTGCATATAAGCTATTGTTGGTATTTCTTATACTCAAGTAGAGAATGATAATTAATAAAAGATCTTAATGTTCACCACAACGCAGCACCAAATAAATAGTGTACATGGGTAATCAAATATTGAATAGGAAGGGTGATGAAGCAAGTGCAAGTAACTCAAGGATAACTTAGTAAGGTATAGCTAGGTGGGAGAACAACGAGAGAGTACAAGGTTCCTATGATTCACCTTCGCTAATACATCTCTCAAATGGCTTTTGGGCTTTCATTAGCTGTTTATCTTCATTGAACAGACGTTTGTCGGTGTTTCGAACCACCGGCTAGTAAATTTGTATCTGCGCGTCTGGCCCGGATGGTGTGCTCGGAGGACACAAGGATTTATGTGGCAGAACCTCCTAAGAAATCGGACCCACGTGCACCTATCGATGTCTCAACAGACCTCAGATAGCGTACACAAGTTCCCAACAACTTAACAGATCCGTCGGGTGTTCTCGGGAAACCCGAATCATCCATGAATCTTTTCCAAACAGGATCCCAATCACAGTCATTGCAGATTACAACAGTTTTCAATATACATACCAGAGATTATAAAGCGGAAGACTTAAGTTTTGATATTACAAACCAGTTATTTCAAACTTACAAAACCATAAGTGTCATACAACCATAGTAGCGGGATAATATTACATTAACATTATTTATTTCACACAAACTAGTGCCTTGTCCAAAGGCCATTCATAATTCCTCATCGTCATCGACTTCAAACACTGACATGCAGCAGGGACCAAAATAAGCCTGCACATGCGACTCACCTGCAACAAGGGTTAACAAACCCTGAGTACAAAAGTACTCAACAAGACTAACCCGACGAAAAAGGGGCGAAGGTCTTAGGGATGCAGGTATTGGGTCAAGGTAAGGATGTAGCAAGATTCAAAAGTTCTTTGCCAAAAGCTTTCTATTCTTGATCCTATTTTCAAGTTTTACCGCTAAGTACTTTAGTTCATTATCTCAAACTAAGTATTCATATCACATATTTCAATCCTTCTCATTCCATTCTTTTTCTCATGTTTTAGTAATTCAATAGTCCTGCATTGCTTCTGTAATGAATCGAGTCTCCATATCCGTGGAGCACCGGCAATTCGAATTGATTCAAGTCCCAGCTGGGGATTCCTTATCACACGACATATGTAGAACTCAATCTTGCATATATCAACCTCGCTACCGGATCTTCCCATACTAAGCCGTCTCCACGCCACCCGAGAGCACAGTACGCCTCAAATCCGACCACATTCAAGCCATGAGGGTACACGCTACTCCCGCCATCTCACCACTCCTAGTGCGTGGGCATTCGTCTTAGTATCGGATTAGTCGAAGTAGGCTTACCGGAGTATGTGACCAGTACTACAAAGTGTCTCGTTCAGAAGATCCACAATGAGTGGCTTTTAAGCGACATAGTCGGCAACATTACCCAACATTCAAGATAGCCTGATCTCAAGTCTATCTTCGAGAACACCTTAGCTCCCGCAAGTTGGTCAAAAAGCAAATCAATTCGGGGTAAGGGGTATTTGTTCTTTATAGTGACTTCATTTAATGGCCGATAGTCAACACATAACCTTAAGGTTGGTCCTTCTTCTTCATGAAGATAGCAGGGCATCCCTAAGGTGATGAACTGGGTTGAATGAAACCCTTGTCTAACAACTCTTGTAGTTGCATTTTTAATTCTGTTAGTTCTTTGGGTGGCATCCTATATGCTCTTCGGGACACAGGTGCCGTTCCTGGTTTTAGGTCAATTCTAAACTCCACATCTCGATCTGGTGGTAGTCCAGGCAGATCATTGGGAAAAACATCCGTAAATTCATATACCATAGGAATGTTCTCGGCTTCTTCCACAGTAGTTGCACAGACTGTTCTAACTGTACTCTTAGGAAAGGGAAGTTGGATGAGAAATTGGGTTTTGCTGCCAGGTATATTTACTCTTATGGTTCTACACAGGACATCTATGACAGCCCCGTGTTGAGTTAACCAGTTCATACCAAGCATCACATCTATATCTTGATCCTTTAATATCAGCATGCTGGTAGGGAACTCATGTCCTCCCAAATCAATAGGTACATGCTGAACTATCTCCCTTGTACAGAGTCGTCCCCCGAGAGACTGTATATGATATGGTTCTTTTGTTTCCCCAATAGTTATCCCATGCTTCACAACAAATGTACGATTGATGAATGTATGGGATGCACCGGAATCAAATAAGGTAATTGCAGGGTGCTTAGCAACGGGAAACATACCAATCATTACTGGTTCTCCTTCTAGAATAGATTCCACCTGAGTATAGAAGACCCTTCCAGATTTCTTCTCAGCCTGACCTTTCTGACTGTTCTGAGCATTGCCGTTGTACTGATTCTGAGCTTGAGTAACAGGGGCTTTAGGTACATTAGGATTACTCTTCCTGGGATATG